ATGAAGCTGCCTGCTAGGAAACATATGAAACAGAATATTCATTTTTTCTTTGATGGCAATAACAGATGACAAAAGTGAGTCTTTCTTGAGATTGTTTGTTTATAGAAAATTCATATCCACCGAGACTGTATGTTAAATTCGCTCTCTGATGTGAGTGTTTGCAGGATGCTTATGGCCGCTAGAGTATGTCCTTATGATCTTACCATTTATTTACCTTGATACAGAACTCCAATTACTGTCAGAGATGCTTCTTGTTAAATACGGTAAGATCTCCAGCTTCTGAGAGTGTCGTCGTTATGTATTCTTTACTCTGGGGCCGCATGCTGAGGAGTGAAAGTACTGGGGAGTTTGCTGCAAATTAATTAAATATCTAAAGATAACAATGTAATGAAAATAGTTTGAAGAAGTTTGGGCTTTAGAGACAGATGAAATTTGGAAGAGAAAATATTGCGGTTCGCTGTTTGTCTTTCTGTACAGAAAGTTTTTTCCAAAGGTTTGGCTCTGTATATTCATTAGCAAAGAAAATGAATTTAGTTTTAATTGTAAGATAGGATAAAAAGAAATACAAGTGACCCCAAACTAATTCATGTGATACTATTCTAATCTCTCTCTCTTTATAAGTTAACTGATTTTACGAATGAAAGACATGGGTTAGATCTGCAATACCTGGTCTTCAAAGGTGTCTGTTGTGTTACATAGGGCAGTTGTAATGAAAGCTTTTAGGGGACTTTTAGAGCTGTAATTTGGGTAGGAACTGGTAAAAGTCACCAGTTATACTGCAAGAGTTACTAGTGTACTAAAAGCAAGTTATTAGAGCAAGTCCTCGTGAATGAGTTTTGGGGCAGCAATTGATTTAAGAATTTGCTTTAATGGTGCTGGCATGAAAATTGGAGCATGGGAAAAATGAGATGTAGTGATGATATAAAGGAGGCCTTTAATCTCCCATGGGAAAATGAGGATGACCTTGAGAAAGAAAGTGTGGGAGGAGGGGAAAAAATTATACGTAATAATGGTAAATGTGACTCTTACCTGCGTTGTAAACCCATGCTTTAGTAGTAGGTAAGTGGGAGAGCGATTGCAATGCAATATTTGCCCTGGAACAAGTGAGAAATGTGAAGTATCTCGGGAAAGGATGTTCCCAGGGGAAAGACAAGAGAGCTGCCCTTGGCCGGATACCATAGGCCAGTTCCAGCCAACCCACTGAAGAAAACGAATCCATAGAATCACAGAATGCTCCAGGCTGGAAGGGACCTCAGAGGTCATCTAGTGCCACCCCCTGCTCACGCAGGGGCACCCGGAGCACGCGGCACAGGGCTGCGTCCAGGCGGGTTTGAAACATCTCCAAAGGAGGAGACTCCACAACCTCCATCGAGGGTGAGAGAACTCCCGCCCAGGAGGGAGCATGCCAGTCTGTGTAAGTGTGCACTACAGCCAGGAGTGAGCACTCCCCCTCTGCGTGAGCACCGACGTGAGTGTTCCCCAGATGAGTGAGCATTCTAGCTGTGAGTGAGAACTCCTCCCTGTGAGTGAGCACTCGTAATGCACGAGTGATCACTCTCCATATGACTGAGCATTCCACCCAGGAGTGAGCACACCTCCCCGGAGTTAGCACTCCGCCCCTGTGAGTGAGTACTCACTCCGTGAGTCAACACTTCCCCTGTGAGTGTGACTACTCCCCCCACTCTGCCCCATGTGAGTGAGCACTATCCCCATGAGTGAGCACTCTGCAAGTAAGAACTCCCCAGAGTGAGCACTCCACCTTTCAGTGAGCACTCAGACCTGCCATGAGTTAGCACTCCCCCTATGAGTGTGAGTGAGAACTCACCCTTGTGAGTGAGCACTCTGCTCCGTGTGAGCCCTACCTGATGTGACTGAACATATACTGTATGACTGAGCACTCCACCTGTGACTGAGAACTCGCCCACCTGTGAGTTAGCACTCTGCCCCGTGAGTGAGCATTCCTACCGTGAGTGAACACTCCAGCACATGTGAGTGAGCACCCTGTCGGTGTGAGTGAGCACTTTCCCTGTGAGAACTCCCTCCATGAGTGGACATTCTCCCCCTTGAGAGAGCACTCCTCCTTGAGTAAGCAGACCACCCATGAGTGAGCACTCAGCCTCCTTGTGAGTTAGCACTCTGCCCAGTGAGTGAGCACTGCTCATGTGAGAACAACCCCCAGCGATCACTCCATCTGTGACCACGACTACCCATGAACACTCCCATAGTGAGTGCGCGCTCCCATGAGTGCGATAACACTTGAGTGCCTTGAGTGAGCACTCCTGTATGAGCGAGCACTTCTCCGTTGAGTGAGCACTCGCCCGCAATGAGCACTCCTGCACGAATGTGAGCACTCGTCCTGTGAATAGGCACACTCCCCCTGTGTGAGTGTGAGAACTTCCCCCTGTGATTGAGCACTCCGCTGTAAGTCCTCACCATTTGAGTAAGCACTCCCCCTAAGGGTGAGCACTCTGCCCAGTGTTAGTGATCATTGACCTTGTCATTGAGCACTCCCATCTGTGAGTGAGCACTCCCATCTGTGAGTGAGCACTCTCCTCCTGAGTGAGTACTCCCACCTATGAGTGACCACTTGGCTCCCCCGGGGAGCTGTCACTCTGTCCCCGTGAGTGCGAACTCCCCGTGAATGGAGGGAGTCAGAACTTGTCCCTGTGGTTTGGAACTCCGCCCCGCAAGAGCGATCTCTCTCCTCATGACTGAGCATTCCACACGTGAGTGAGCGCTAGTCTGGGAAGTAAGCTCTCCATCTGTGAGTGACCACTCCCCCAATGAGTGAGCACTCCCCCCCTCCGTGAGTGAGCATTCCACCCCCACCATGAGCCAGCAATCTGCTCCCGTGAGTGAGCACTCCAGTCGTGAGCACCCCGTTCCTGCCGTGCGTTAGCACTCTGACTCCATGAGTGAGCACTACCCCTGTCAGTGGGCACTCCCCTTGTGAGAAAGCCCCATGTGACTGAGCACTCCACCCGTGAGAGAAAGCTCCCCCTTTGAGTGTGAGCGAGCACTCCACCCCTAGGAGAGAGCACTGCCCCTGTGAGTGAGCATAGTCCCTGTGAGTGATCACTCTGCTGAGTGAGCACTCCCCTCTGAGTGTGAGAGAGGGGTTTCCAGGATGGGAATGTCTCCTGTGGGAATATAGAGTTTTAGCTTAGCGAAACCAAGACAAAAAGGGAATAAAATTGCACTAAAATGGGGAATAGAATGTATAAAAATTCTGTGTAGAAAGTTGAGAGGAACAAAGCCATTACCGTAAAACCAACCTGGAAAAAGTTAAAATACATATTTAAAAGCCCAAGGAAAGGTGAACAGACAATAATAAGCGTAGTCTGGAAACTGGTAGGTAGTTACCAGTCACAAAAGTTTAGTCTCCGAAGCAGCTTTATTATGAGCAGGATGTTCTTTCTGGGTCTGTGTCTGCCTCGACGCCTCAAACCATTTTCTCCTGAAGGATGAAACTCCCCTGCATCCGTGTAGCCCACTCCTTGGAGAATTGTTGCAGGGCTTTTGTCTGTCTTGGGTGCAAAGCTAGCAAAAACCACCTCTGAGCGGGCTATTGCAGGGGGTCTTGAACCAGATAGCAGCAGCTCAGCCGGGCCAAAGCACATCAGTGACAGCCAACGTGCACGAGAAGACTGGACCTCTCCAGTGCTCTTATTACCACTGCTGGTTTTGATGATGCCTTTTTATTAGGATTTTGAAAAGCTGCAGAAGTTTTGAGGTGGTGCTTTTATTCCCCCCGCTCCTTAGAGGGGGGAAAACATCTGGAACAGTTGTTCCTCTGCGGCTCTTCCCAGCGCTGCTTTTCATTTTTTTGTCTCCTCTCATCTTGCTCAGCATCTTTCTTAAACAGCTGGGGGAGTGTGTGCGACAACTGGGGCTGAGCGTCGGCCTCGGAGCCGCGGCATGGAGCGCTGCCGCCGCTTCCCTGGGAACCAGCAGGCCTGGATGAGGGCCAGCTGGCTGTAACCGAGCCCCTTCCACAAGAGATAAAAATGCCCGGGAATTTGTCCGTCCGCCGAGCAAAAAGGCGAGATTTCCTGGCTTTCCCACAATCAACCAAAGTGCTTTTTAGTGGCTGGACAGAGAGAAGCTCTTATGCGTGCTGCAGGAGTGCTAGTTCCTTGGATAATGGGGGGATAAGCACAGCATTGATAGCTACAGCTGGAATTCCTATAAACCACATCGTTTTGGTTTCTTCCTATTGAAGTGATTGTAGAAGCCGTATAGATTCTGGGGAGAGCAAAGGTGGTAACTTTGAGTTATTTTGAAAAAAAAACTGAAAATAAAAAATAGCCCAGGTTGGTAGAAGTACTGAGCTGTCTTTATTTCAAAGTCCTTAAAGCTTTTTCTGCTCTATGAATATCTAAACTTGCTCTCAGTGGTGAACAAAATATTTCTGTGAGGCAAAGAAAGAAAAAAGTAAGAAAATTGCCAAAGCGCTTTTAGTGATAATTAAAATAGTTGCTAAGCCTTGCTGATGTATTTTGATAACGCGCTCTGTGTTTGTGTGCTTTTCTCTAGCACAGTAACGATGTCAGGAGAGCTTATGGTGGGCTGTACTACTTCTGCTTTCATCGAACAAAAATGCAGCAGATGCTTTGAATTTTCTGCAGATGGTGGCAAGTATTTGCTATATTATAAGGTTATAGTGCTAGTGTCATGCCGGTTGCTTGGTAAATCCGTGCCTGGTTCAGGTGGTGGCATCTCTTAGCGGTGAGTGGCCAAGTTTTAGTGAAACAGGGACTAAGCCTCTGCCCTTGGGCCTGGGTTGGTCTCGGTCCCTGCGCGAGGCACCTGGGCTCCAGCACCCCCAGAGCGATGGGGTCGAGTGGAAACCAGGCTCAGGTGCAGGCACGTGGGAGAGCAAGAGCAGAAGCCCATGGTGTAATTTATTCCCCGCGCGGGAGAAAGCCAGGGATGAAGTAAGTTGCCTTTATTCCCCATTATCAGCAGGCTGGTGCACCTGGTGGGGAGCGGAGCGCTGGAAAGGACGCTGCCACATCCTGTCTAAACTTATGTGAGAGGCTGTTCATGAGGTAATTCTGGGCTCACGGGGAGCAGGAAGGCCAGGCCCTATTGTGCGATATCGAGCTCTCCGGGTAGGCTTGAGAAATGCGAACATTTGGCTAAATAGCTAAATTTTTTATCGTTTTTATTCCAGGGAACTGCAGTGGAGCTCAGGGGTATGGCAGGTCTCTGTTGAGTCATCAGGTAGGTCTCATGAAAGGAGTGGGAGCTTGCCCAGGTGGAAGGTGCATCTGCACGGCCAGAGGACGACCAAAATCCCTCCTTGTGCCAAAGCTTGAGACTGGAACTGTTGATCATCTAGAGTGTAGATCATCTGGAGAGTTGGACGCTGCGGTGAGAAAAGAAAAATGCCCTTTAATAACTGCATAATTCCAGATATTAGAGCACTTGCACACTGAGCTCCTTTGAGGGAAAGGGAATGTGTAGAAGTTAATCCAGTTCCACCAAAATTAATCTTGTTATGAGCTAATGCTAACAATTTCTAGGTCAGTGGGTGTCCCTGGGGAATTGTCCAATGTTTATGCTGTCTAACGCGTGTCTGCATTATGGGGGAGTGGGACTCTTGGTTCGCTCCTTTTGCATGTTTCTTAACAGAACAATTCCTATTAGAAAAAGTATACTTTGGAGAGTTTTAATTATGTTAATTATCGCATATTTTGTTAATAACATTTTCTTTTGAAGACGCCCATTAGAGGTTTTAAAGTGTTAATTTACTAGAAAATCAAATGGAATGCTGTTGGAAATTTTCTTTTAAATTAACTTTACTTACTTTTATGTCCTAATTAAACGGAGATAATAGTATTGGTGGAAATATTACAGAACTAGAAATTAGTGCTTGGATATGTTACTTTATAACAAGACTTTAATCGTAATGTAATGTATCCTTTGTTCTAATCAACATATAGCCTTTGCATTGCATTTACTGATGTGTTTTGAGCAAAACATTTAAATAGTTTGACTCTGCATCAGTGTTGCTATCTTCATTAGATAGCCTTCTAATACTGTTAAGTTCCTTCAGGGTAATTTTCTTTTCCCTCCTCCCAGCATCTGTAGTCCTTACTGGAAAAAGTGTTGAAGGCTTTCTTGGTGTTTTAGCATTACCTCATCATGTATTAGGTAATACCCAGTGATCCCACTTAAAACAAACTTTCCATAGTGTTTGCAAATTGGATGTGCAATTCCCTTTAACTTCTTCTGCTCCAACTACTGGTCCCGTCAAAGCCATGCAATCTGCCTGGTGTACGGGATCTTCACCTTGGTGCTCAGGTACGTTGGACTGGCACAGCTATTCTTTGTAGAGAAAAGGGTATTCCTATATATCACAATTTTTTTTAATCACTTTTTTTTTTTAACATAATTGGGATTAAATTAGTAGTAGGGAGTATACCGGAAAGGTAAGTCAAAGACTTGCTGAGCGCTGGTATCAAACCATTCTCTTCCAGGTCAGACCTGAATGCTGCTGCCAAGGAGCCAGACTTTCCCTGTGTGTCCAAACTTGCCCTGGCTGGTAAATTCAGTAGGGTTTTACACACTAATTGGGCTCCTTCGTTAGCACAGAGACGGTCCATCCCTTCTGCCATTGCTGGAAAAGTTTGCAGACGTTTGCTGGCCTATGAGACTGGGTGGTGGGCTGAAGAAGACCCAAGCGGGAAGATACAAAGGGCTGGTCACCAAAGGGGGATCCTTGTCACAAAAGCAGTGCAAGCCATGTAACCCAAATATCCAATTTGCTCGGAAGGGGTAATTTAAGTTACTTTAAAATAGTTAGCTTTTATGGTCATTTGGGTGCTGCCATATTACTAGTAATAAGCCATAAATCTATTTGGAATCATATGAGATCATTTTTTAAGACTCCTAGACTAAATTTTCAGGTAAAGAGGAGAAATTGAAATTTATAATCCATGCCCTTTTTTGTGTAATTGTTATTAATAAATTAGCACGACGGAGGCAGCAGATGGAATGAATTGTTGTAGTTCATTAATTTGATGATGACTCTCTTTGCATGAGCCAATTATGTCTGTCATTGTGCCTCTGAGCCGCCGTGGTGCCCAAAGGAAAGGGCACGCAGACAGGGACAAATCCTCTTAGGGACTTCTCGCTTCCCAAGGTGGCCACGGAAAGTTCAGTCCTCACTGGTACCTTTATGGAAGGGTGAGGCCACCAAACTTGTCAAAAATGCAGTTCTTAATCCGAGCTGCCAAGGCTGGGGTGGAGAGACTATCCCGTTGGGTACACATGGTTGTGGTCTTCCATCTGAAATAATTATCTGAAATATTTCTCCATCTCAGCGAATTATCCACTCTTTTGGGCTGGTGATTCTGTGTTTGACCTTGGCGTACCTTCAGGTTCCCAGCATGCTTTCAGGGATGTTTTTCCAAAGGCATCACGTTAGCAGTGGCATAAAATGTGGCTGTGTGGCTAAAAACAATAGAAAACTATCCTTCCTGTGCCTGGGGATCAGGAAAGCTCCCTTTATATATGAAACCATCTCTTCTTTAATTAGAAGCTGCCCTGCCATCTCCCGAGCCTTTGTGGTAACGTGCGGATAAAGTTTCCTGGGGAATGTGGCTTGATTTGCTTTACCTTCAGACCTTGTATTCGCCACTTGGAGATAGTGGTTGTTTTTCTGCCAGGCGAACGCTTCGTTTAATGACTGTAGTTTATTACCCGCTAGGTCACATCCTGTATATTTCAAGAACAAACACCTTTGAGATGGTGACTTGGTGGAAGGAGGTGACGCGTCGTTGCTGTTGTTTTCACTACAGCCTTGTGGAAAAACTAATTACCTTTTCATCTTGGCAAATTCAGAGGTCAGTTTACCACTACTATATCACAACATGACAGGGAACATGGGTAATTAGGTAGGCTGTGTAACCTGGATATTCCATGGATCTCATTACATCTTATTTAGAAAGGCTATAATTTGATTGGTGGAAAATTAAGGCATCTCCTCATGGGTCATTTTATCTTTCTGCAATAATAATTCTTGGCTTGATTAAAAATTGATCCAGTGTCTTAAAGTGAATTTATTATTGCTGCAATCTATCACCCACAGACAGATAATCTGGTTCCCATCTTTATCTGATTTGAAAAATCTGTCACTTATTATGTGTTGTTTTTTTCCCAATCATTTAAATTGATGGTTTGCTAAGGCAGGGCGTGCTACCATAGGCCTCGTGGAGAAGGCATGTATGAGACATTAAACCAGTACTTCTTCCTGCAAGGAGTCTGATTCTATGTCGGGTATCGATTGCAACTCTGTTGGGCATCAATTTCTATGGAAAAAAGAAGAAATCAAGCAGAAGTTTTGGATACAGGTCAGTAAGGAGGACGGACAAGTTATTGTTGGAGAAAACGGTCCTTGTGGGCCTAGCACCTGGGCAGACTCCAGCCTTGGGTATTGCAGCTCCTGCTGAGCCCAGCTTTTGGTCTGCAGATGAAACTGGCCCAGTTGTTCAGGAGGTTCTTGCAACCCTTTGGCTTTAAGGTGTGCTGAAAGCAGCCCAGCCATGGAGCCTGGTGCCAGGAAACAGCTGGTCAGATCAAATTGAAAGATTTTTTTAAAAAAACTTTTCATAAACAAGATGTATTTATTGGAAAAACACCCTATTCATACTGTAAGCATCAGAGGCAATGATCCTTAGCCCTTTTTGCACGCATTCTTTTGCCCAGTTGTCTGAAATACTTTTAAAAACAAGGTCATATCCCTTCTCTACAGAAGCCCAGCAGATCCAGGTCTATCTATGCCTAAGTTTGTGTTGAGCACTGGCAATGAATACATATGGCGTGGTTCCTGCAGCGACCCTGGAGAAAGAAGATCAAAGACAACTGTGAGGCGCACAGTTTTTGCTCGAGTTTTCTGAAGCAGAGTAAAGCCCGAGGCAGTTTCTCCCAGCAAATTTTCCTGTCTTAAATAGCGTGACTCTCGTCAGATGAACAGCAGTAGTTTAGATCTGTAGGTCCGCGTGGTTCAGTATGGAAGGTCATCTACACAAACTTGGGAGGGGGGAAAAAAAATCGGCAGTAGTTGATGCCATAAACCTTTGGTTTAGGAATAAAAGCCGGGCGACAGTCTAGGCTCGCTGCAGTCGGTGGGGATTTGGCTGCTGCCTTCTGTAGGCTGCACGTTCCCTGTGGCTGTGCAGCACGCAGAGCGTGTCCTGTGGAGCCGCACGCAGGAGCAGCCCCCTCCCAAGCTGCAAATGCAGCACTGAAATTCCAAAGATCTCTTCTCTTTTTTTTGGCAGAACAAAAGACTGAGTGGTTGCAACCCATGTTACTCCCTCACTTCTCTCCTCACACCTGAGTTCCTGCTGGTGGGTCTCGCTGCTGCCAGTGCTCTCCTCGGAGAACGTGGGTGAAAGGGTAAGGTGCAGCTCCCTAGCAGGGTGGGAGAGGCTGCTCTGCTCGCCTCTAAGCTGGCCAAAAGGAGCCTGGCTTGCCACAAATGCTCGCCTTGAAACGAACGTTTCCCATCTGTAGCAAGGATTTGGCTTCTCTGTATACATGATATAATGCCAACATGGTGAGAGAGAGGATAATTGGATAAACAAGAATTAATAAGGATAGCCTGCTGTGAGGGCCACGCTGCTTTTAGTGTCCAGATCAGTGTTATGGTGGGTCCACATCATCCCTGTTGCAAGATCAGGCCCTGGAGTTTAAATGGCTCCTTTTAAAACACTCGCACGTTTTTCTCCTACCACTGTATTATAAAATATTTCAGTGCTTTGTTTATTTGCATTGTTCTGTTTGCCCATTTGTGCTGGATTGATTTATTTTTATTCTTTTCTGGCACTTACCATGTGGGAGAGCACATGCCTGGAAAAGCCGGGTGCCAGCCCTGGCGATTCCCAGGGCAGAGCTGCCCTGCTGAAACACTCTGCAGGGTCACCCCTGTCCCGCTGCTGGCCCAGGATCTCATTCCCACTTGCTGGCCCGCGGCCTTTCCAGTGCTGCAGCAGAGTTTCCCAGGTGTTGTTTGAAAATGTTTGTATTAGCAGTCATGGCGCTGTGTTAATCCAAGGTTTTGTTTGGATGTTTTGGTTTTCGTAGCACGTGTAGTGGTGATTTCAATCTCCCTGCAGCGCAGGCGCTCTTCACTCGTTTCCAGGAAACATATGGCATGTGGTGTAGTTCGTACAGTTTTCCAACATACATTCGTGTCTGGCTTGTGGGACCTGGTCAGAGGGGTTCGGTAGGACATCGCTGTGCCCGTGCGGTGCCACAGGGTCGGTCTCTGAGCTTCCCAACCTCCCCTTTAGGCTGTTGACCTCCGCAGTGGCTCTGGGAGGTGCTGGTCTCCATTTGCACTTCCCTCTTTCGTAGCTGTGGCTCCTGTGCTAAAGGAGCACCCAGGAACATCCATCTCCTGGCTTCTCTAATTAGACGAGCCTCCTCAATCATCAGCGGGTCACTTGTCACGTCCGCTTCTTCTCGTGAGCATCAAATGAGGGAAGATCTTGCTGTATTTCCAGCAGCGGTGATGCTGGTGAGGAAGGGAGAAGGGAGAATGGTTCAGGGGCCATTGGCACACACGTTAGCACCGAACACTGTGCAGCATCTGGAACCAAAGGGCTCTTTTCTCAGCCATCTGTTCCTTCCTTTTAACCATAACTGGTGGTTTTCAAAGCACGAGAACTAATGACCACGTTGTGGCATTTCTTTTGCAAAGCCCCCAGGTGTAAGGTATTTTCTGAGCTCAGGAAGTAATGCAGTTCAGTCTCCAGCAGCAGCCAGTTGCAGGTTATATTGCAGTGAAAACAAGCAGTCTATGCACCTCTCCCCAGATATATTTATATGGCCATCCAAAGTCACGTACACAGTGCGTCAGAGGCAGTTTATCCTTTGAGCACCCTGCCTGAAAACAGGCGAATACCCTGAGCCTGCACTTCAAAACAGTGCAGTGTTGGGAGAGGCTGCCAATGACCCGAGGTAAAAGGGAATCGCATAACTAAATTGTTAGGTAGGGCTGGTCACCTGAAGTTATATAATATACCAAATCAGCGGGTGTTTCTGAGAGTGAGGGAAAGCTTCATTAATTAGGAAATGAAGCATGGGAATTAATAATCTGTAGTTTTGCATGAATGTATAAAGCTGTTCCCTG